CCCTCATAGTCAGAAAGCTATTAATGCCTAGCAGAGCTCATTACCTCGCAATCCTGGACAGCATCTCTATCTCAGAACAGAATGTTCAGGCTGACAACACACGGACTACAGTTTAGATCAGGAGTGTCAAGCTCAACCCAGGCCAAACCCAGACCACAATGCTCCTCACGGGCTGGATCTGGGGCAAGCAGTAACTGCAGCAGGGCCAGCAGTGGAGATAAAGGGCCAGTGGGGCAAGCAACTGAATGCCATGGAAGAGGCAGCACAAGTAGCAGTGGCAGCAGGACGAGTGACTGCAGGTCAAGCAGCCACAGAGCAAGTAGGGCTCTATCAGTACAGCCCTCGCTTGCCAAGGATCCATTCCTTGGCTAGCCAGTAGGTTGGCAAGCCAGATGGAGCAGCTCTGTGGCCAGATCTGGCCTGATCTGTAAATTGGTTTCCCCCAAAAAGTTCCCTCTACAGGTAAGAGGACAAAGTATTTTCACTTCTGATTAATAGCAATCTATAAATAACTACTAATAATTCATTGATTTTCTCTCTATTAAGGGCAATATTATGGAACCAAGAAAGACCTTTCTACTAATTTGTGCTGAAGACTAATCCAACTTAGGCCATATTTTTGACCCCGCAGCCTTGATCAAACTGTTTTAAATTCAGTCACGGTATGGATCCACTGACATTTTTATACACAATGTATACAACTGGCACAACAGGTCTCAGTTTCTGAAGATGAGACATGGAAATAATTAACACATGCCTACCTCAATGGATCATCAACATTTTCTTTGAACTGCAAGCACATTATTATTAGTGGTAATGACCAATACTTTACCTGAACAGGTAAGCTTCCATGCTCCATTTCAAAAACCAGCAGCTCTGAAGTCTTGTCATGGAGATTCCACTTGGCAAGGTCATGTGCACTGCAAGTCAGAAAGAAAAGAAAATACCAGAGTCAGAAAATTTTAAAAAGAAGAGATACAAATGGTATTTCCATTTATCCTGTATCTCAACACATGCAATCTGGTCTTAAAAAAATCACCACAGATTCTTGTTTGAGGAGGGAAGGTGATGACTTTCAGCAATACCTTGATCTATTAAGAGGCATAAGAAAAAAAATATTCTCTATCTATTAAACAGGTTAAATCTTTTTATTTTGCCAGCACTGACTGAAAGCCAACATCTTTCACTGAACTCTATCTCGCAATCACTCAAAAAAAACGTTTTTTTTCCCCAATGTGCCAGATAACTTTTGTTCTTATGATATATAGACTTGATTTAAACTGGGAATAAATGGCTTTCTACTATTTGTGTTACTATGTATAGATTAGACCAGTGATTCTCAACCATGGTCTTACTAGGTGCGAGGAGATATGCAGATAAGTGCAGTCTTGGTCTTGGCCAATTATCCACCCCCACTGCCTGGCCCTTCTGCAAGGAAGCAAGGACTGTAATATATAAATTAGTTTTTGAAATTGGGTGTCACTCAATTCACAAGAGCTATGGAGGGGTGCCTCGATTCCAAAAAGTCACTGACCCACTGGATAAGGCTCAGGCAGGCAGGAAAATTCTCTAGAATTTGCTAACAAATGCTAAAAACTTGTCATTTGCTTTCCTCCTCAGCAATGAAATCTGCTAAGGAGGCAGCTCCTGAGATGTCCCAATACAAAGAACTATCTCCAATATTAAAGAACACCTACAGGCTGCACAGTATAAGACAGCTAGCTCCTTTTTGAAATGACAGGACAAACTTAGCCATGTGTGATGAAGGGAAAGCTACTCTTAGCCTACAGCTCAATTCCGGCACCCTCAGGCACCTTGAGTACTTGGCAAGTAGTCCCAAATAGGTCACTGCAGAGGTTCTACTCAACATCAGTTAGGGTTGAAAAAATTGCCATCAGATACCAAACAAGAACATATACTACGCTCCAGAAAAGCCATGCTTCTGGGAGATTTGCTCTTTAACAGATACAGACCAGAACACATCAAGCATATTGCTCTCATTACTTTCTCTGCGGGCTGCCTGCCCGCCTTGATGTAAGGCATCCTGCTGAGAAGGCAGGCACTGAAACAGCCCAAATGAAAGGGCCTTTATGTACACACTGTCACCCCAACCTAACAACACGTTGAATGCAGACATGCCATCTGCTTCAAAACTGACCCTTAAGATCAGCCAACTGAGTTCAAAAAGAGCTCCTTGCAAGGAGAGTACATTTATACTTAGGAGCATCTAGAAACCAGAAGGGGGGAAAAAGTACTCCTAAGAAAGGAATTCCCCTGAACTATTTTAAATGCTACCACCTCACCTAGTGATGGTTTGAAAGTTTTGTTAAGCAACCAACAGTAATTCCTGTTTTACAGCAGCCTGGTGTGGCTGCACTGTGCAGGGAAAGGGAAATGAGAAACTGTGTAAACAAACATCTCACTTATGAAAAGCTGCTATTCTTCTCAAAGCAGAGCATATTCGGGAAATTCCTTCTTCACCTGTACAAAGACCTTCCTCCTAAATCACAGGAGTTAGGAAAGAGAAAAAAACAAGGAGGGTGTTAAGAGTAGTCGTTAGTTCCTCTACTAACTGCAGGCTTAAATTACATGACTTCCCAGCTTTGGAAACTACTTGGCCTTTGACTATATTTCTCACACCTTCCCTATGATTGAAAAAAAAAAATCTTACATAAGGTGAGAAGAAATCGAATATCTAGGAAATGCCACACTATTATACTTCCATTATAACATCATCAGCCCTCAACCACCCACAGCTGCCTTCCCAGTCCCAAGCACAGATGCTAACTACAAGGCAGCCCAATTCAGGAGTCCTCCAAATCTGGCCTGCAGACAACTACTGGCCCAGGAAACACTGGCTAGAGGTCCACAGGGAACTAACTGTTCACATGGTGCTGACTCTCCTCATTTCCAGGTACCACACCACATTAAATGTTTGCCTACAGATGCAATTGCGATAATATCTGATCAAGGGAGGTGGCCCTTCGAACAGAGTTAATCTATTATGTAGTTGTGGTCCATGCTAGGATAATGTTTAAAAACCCCTATCTTATCTTGTTTCTGATAAAATGCATGTACTCAGGGGGAGGGGAGAGAAGGTGCATTTATACCAGGGGTGGCCAACCTGCAGCTCTGGAGCCACATGCTGCACTTCAGAAGTTAATGTGCATCTCCTTGAATCTTTGCACAAGCACA